CTAAACCTAGGGCTGCTGAGTCCTGATCCCCGTTTCTAACCCTTGGACCTAAAAGGTTCCCAAGCCATAAAGGATCTGTCACAAATAGGTCTGCACAGACACCCAACCCTAAGGAAGTCAGGAAGAGGCGGCCATGAGAGCTGGCAGGGGTGGTCAGAGAGGGCTTCCTGGAAGAGGAGACTGGAGCCAGGCCCTAAAATATGAGTATGGTTTGGACAATGGGAGACGAATCTCACAGAGGCTCAGATAACCAGGGAGGTCACAGGAATCAGACACTCCAACTGGGAGTCAGCCAGACTTGAGTCCACCTTCTACTGGCTGCACGGCCTTGGGTAAGTCTCTGGCCTCAGTTTTCTCATCTGTAACATGAGGGAAGTTGAACCAGGCCAGCTGGCATAAGGGGCTGAAGTGGGCTGAGTGGGGCTGGGGAGCCAGAAAGAGCAGCCCTTTAAGGGGGCAGCTTCTCTTTGATTCTATCCTGTGGTTCCCATATGCTAACCTGGCTGGATAGTTCCATCTCAACACAGGTTTGTGGGGCCCTGAGGCTTCATAAAACACTGAGGGCCCTCTTTAAGAAAAATAATGCAAAATGACTAATCATTGATCACAGGGGAGGAGGGGGTGACACAAATCTACACATGCTACATAATTGTATTAGGCCCACACATACGCACAGTGAGTGTATGTAAAAGTGGAGCTCTGCAGATTGTACAAAGGTCAGTTTCCCAGTTTTGACATCGTTCTTTAGTTCTGCAAAATGTACAAATGGGGAAAACTAGGTGAAGAGTATGTGAGACCTTCTTGTCTTTTTTTTTGCAACTTCCTGTGAATCTGTAATTGTTTCACCATAAGAAGTTGAAAAAGTATGAATATAAGATTAGCAAAGGGCCTTGAAGGGGCCAGTGCAAGTAATGGGGCCTCAAGTTTAAGTTTCATGAGCTTTCTAGGAAACGTGCCTCTGACCAATCTTCTGATTTTTGTCAAGAAAAACTAAGAACCAAGACTGTTAGGTAAGGTCTGAATTTGTTGATTTTGGGCTCTAAATAAAAAAGTGTTTTTAACATTTGGCAGGCCAAAAAAAAGCTATCTGAAGCTGAGATGTCCTTAGACTGACAGTTGTGGCCTCTGACACACTCTCTAAGATCCTGCACAGCCCTGGCACCTCCTGATGTTGGCTAGTCCTACCGTCTCCATCACAAATGTGGAAACTGAGGCCAAGAGATGGGAAGTGCCTTAGCCAGGGTCAGAGTGCAAGTGCATGGGGAGGTGGGACTTGAACCAGGATCTCCCTGCCCTCTGGCCAGCTTACAGGCTGCTCCTTCCCCTCTTCCTCCCTGCACACTGCTCCCAGGTGCACAGCACATCAGGGGAAGGAGGTTCCAGAGACCAAACTGTGGTGATGTGTCCCCTGGAGGACACCCCCAGGGTTCCTCTTCCCTGTCCCTTGCTCCATCACTTCCTTCCTACCTGCTCTCTCCCCAGGAATCCCAGCTATCCCTGGGACAAGAGGACCCAAGGGTCAGAAGGGAGAACCTGGCACACCTGGCCATCCTGGGAAAAATGGCCCCATGGGGGCCTCTGGGATTCCGGGGTTTCCTGGTCTCATGGGACCCCCTGGGGAGCCGGGTGAGGAAGGCAGATACAAACAGAAGCACCAGTCAGTGTTCACAGTCACACGGCAGACGCTCCAGTTCCCGACAGCCAACAGCCTGGTCAAGTTCAACACGGTCATCACCAACCCACAGGGAGATTACGACACGAGCACCGGCAAGTTCACCTGTAGAGTCCCTGGCCTCTACTACTTTGTGTACCACGCCTCGCAGACGGCCAACCTGTGCGTGCAGCTGTACCACAGGGACGTCAAGGTGACCACCTTCTGTGACCACCTGACCAACAGCAAGCAGGTCAGCTCGGGCGGTGTGCTGCTGCGGCTGCGGGTGGGAGAGCAAGTGTGGCTGGCGGTCAATGACTACAATGGCATGGTGGGCACCGAGGGCTCCGACAGCGTCTTCTCCGGCTTCCTGATCTTTCCTGACTAGGTCAGGCAGCCTGCTCCAGCCCTGGGGCCACCGCACCTCCCTTGGCTTCTCTGTAAGAACCCACTGTGCCATATCCTTGCCCAGACTATTCTCCCCTCCTGATGGACTCCTCCTCCAGGAAGCCCACCCTGTCCACCTGCCCCATGAGTTCTCTCCTCGTTGCTCCTTCAGGAGTCACTGCTTTGACACTTAACCAACACCTTCTGGTACTGTCATTAGTTCCTTCCAAGTCTTGGAAGAGGCAGGGAGATATCTAAATAAATAATTAAACTGTAAAGATGGATGGCTTAGACTCCTCACTGCCACTTCTTTGAAGAAGCAGGTCTCTTCATTTTCAACTTGGCATCTGCCACAGCCACCTGTGGGCTCTAGACTCAGCCAGAGCATCCAGTTGGTACTCAGTAAAGGCTGGTGCTGATTTGGCCATTTGGGACAGAGAGGCTCAAGCGTGGTTGAAGGGGCCGTGTGCTGTCACTTGTTTGAGTGAGAGGTACTGCCATCACTAAAGGGATATGTGATCCCAGGTAAACAGGAGTGTGTTTGAGTCCCCAGACCAATGCTGACCTATGCTGAATTTCAGGAGCACCTGCCACAGGAAGGATTTGGGCTCAGGGAAGCCCAACATAGACAAAGACCGGATGTGCAGAATTAATTAGTGAACTGGAGTGAATGAGTGAATGAGTAAGTGGGTCAATGAATGACTAAAAGCAGAGTAAATGAGTAAGTGGATTTAAAAAAATAGTAATAGCGAACATTTATTGAGCACTTACTATACACCAGGCATTAGGCTAACCTATTAAGTCATATAATATTCATAACTACACTAGGATGGGTATCAATGGTGAGAGAAAGAGTGGGAATCTGTCTCCCGGATGTCTGATGCACACTAAATAATTGACACACCCTGGGAGCCCCCAGGAGGTCATCTAAACCCACTGCTGCCCAGGAACTGTGAGGGCTTCACTGTGAGCTTCCTGGCTGTTGGGCCTGGCTGCTGTGACCCTTGTTGGAGGACAGGAGGCTGGTCATCAGCTGCAGCACTCTCACTGTGGTGACCATGAGAAGGGATTGGCAGTCATGGTCCACAAAGACAGAAAGTGTGACTGCCAGGCCAGCCTCAGAGCCTGGTGAGACCCACCTCCACCCACTTGGCCCCTCCATTCCTGAAAGGTGCTGCTTCACACCTCCAGGCCTTTCCCCGCGATGTCCCTTCATCCTGAAGAGCCCACCACACTCACACATCCTCTGTACACCTGGATAATATGCACTCAACTGTCAGGATGCAGCACAAAGGTCACCTCCTCCACAAAGCCTTCCCTGATTCTGCCCTTTGTGTCTTCACAGTGCCCTCCACTGTCTTGGACCACAGACTCATGACTCTTTAGAACCCAGGTTCCCAAACTTGGTGGTACAATAAAATTATCTGTGGATTTATTCACAAAACAAAAAATGTTTCTGGAGTCAAGGCTTTTTTATTAAGTTTGAGTAAGCAGTTTGCCAGGTGACCCCAAAGCATGTGGCACAGCAACTGGCTTTTGTGTACATACTTGGAACAGGTCTGCCTCCCCTTCTGACTGTGGGCATCCTGGAGGGCAGGGCCTCTTCGATGCATGCCTGGCACATAGCAGGGCACAGGGAATGGGTCAGATGAGCAAGAAGGAGGGATGAACGCACAAGCAAGCACAGAAGCAAGGGCCCAGGAACCCTGCCTGGTTCTCGGCATCTGGGGGCCTCTGGCAGGGACAGGGCTGCGTCACAGGCCACTCCAGTCACAACGCCCTATCAACCACTTAGCAGTCTGCCCTGCAGGGCCCCAAGTGGGACATCTTCTTCTCATTTCTTTTTTGTTTAAAAATCAATACACCATTTAGGAAGGACACAGTGTCAGATCAGAAACCTGTACTTTGGAAAAACGACAATCCATGCCATTTTTATTTTCTGTAACTGGTTCCTTGTCATTCGCTCTTCGTCAGGCCTTTGAAAATGCCAGCTTCTCTGCTTGGCCAAGGGGAGCCTGGTGGGAGTTTTTAAGGGGGACAGGCAAGGAAGGGGTGTAGGTGGGACAGGAGCCAGACAGAGACACCCCAAGCTGCAAGGAATCTCTTTCAGACCACAGGACATTGAAGGGTTTTAGGTTTCTTTTTCCATCCTTTGTAGGGATCATCCCCTCTCCTTCACAGATGCAAGTCAGCAGTCTTAATGGGTACAGACAGCAGTCGGCTCCCACACAGAGGCCGAGGCACAGAGAGCTCTCAGATCCTGATCTCTAATCCAGGCCTGCCCCTAACCCAGGCATGGCTCCTGTGTGCTCAGGCTCCAAAAATTCTGTCTTCTCTTCATGTAAATAATATCCCCAGGTTTGCGTTGGCTGCTTACCAAGGGCTGGGCCCTAAACATGCAGGGTTACCTCACTGGACCCCCACAACCCCGGGGGAAGCCCATTCATATATGGGGAAGCCGAAGTCAATAAATGTGCCTGAGGCCACACAGTTAGAAAGAGGCAAAGCTGGAATTCAAACCTGAGCAAGGCCGATTCCAAAGCCCAGGCCCTCATGCCTCCCTGGTGCTTCCTGCTCGTAGTCTTGAGCTGCTTCTACCCCAGCTTCAAGCCCATCTTTTCCCATTGCCATCAGCTCCCAAAGAATTAGAGGCCAGGGACCACGTGGCCTCAGGAGCCTGCAGATGGGCCCCCAGACCGGCAACTGCTAACCCCCGTCTCCCTGCTCAGAATCCACTGCTTTCTCTTGCTCGCCCAGCCTGGGTCCCTTTGAGTAGACAGTCGGCTGAGCTCAGAGACCGGTTCTCTCAAACCAGCCTCTTCTTTCCCTGTCACCCTCTGCAGGTAACAATTTCTATTACTCAGGACCCACAAGCCCAACGATTCCCTGTCTCCAAGCACAGATGTGCAGTCAGGCCCTCCTGGCCCACAGCTGCTCCTGGGCTTGCGGGGCAGCTATCCCTGAGGCCTACCACATAGCCTTAGACTCAAGCCTTGCAAGAGGGCTGAAATCTGGTGCCACGGATGCCTGGCTCTGAGTCCTGCTTCTGTCGCCTGTGAGGCTTGGCTCCAGCAGTCACGGCTTTTTTGTACCATTTATCACAGGAGCAATGAAACCATCCTGTGCTTTGATGTTGAACACCATTCTCCCCTAATAGAAGGGATGCACGGTGGGGGCAGGAGCCATGGCTGATTTGCTGGTGGCTCCATCTCCAGTGCCTGGAACACAGAGGTTCATGGTAAATATTGATGACATGATGACTCTCTCCCCTCTGGGTCTCAGTTTCCCTGTCTATTAAATGAAGCTGGGTAACCTCCAAGCCCCTCTCCAGCCCTCACTTGGTGTGGTTCCAGGAACAGCACGCAATAGGCCCCTGCCTGTGCCTATAATTGTCATCAGCTTCAAGCCCTGCTGGGAGCAGAGGAAGGGGTATAAATAAGTAATGACCACATTTAAAATTCATTATTACATTATTTTCTGAGAACAGGGGAAGAGCAGGGGTGCAGAATGGGCAGAAAGCAGGAGAGGGGCCCAGAAAGGGGAAGCCTGGGACATGGCATGATATTAACAATTAACACGCACACTGCACTTCACAGCCTGCCTGCTTTCTTCTCCACTGTCCATCCCATCTGAGCCCCCCGGAGCCCCGTGCAGTCTGCAGAGCAGGTGACATTATGGTCCCATCATATAGCAGAGCAAATAGGGGCTCCCTTGAGTTCCCTTGGCCGAGAACTCTTCGTTGGTAAGTGGCAGAACCAGAATATGAATCAAAGTTTCTGACTCCAAATCCAGTGCTCAGGCATTAGGCCAGCCACATTTTCCTCTCACTGAGGAACACGCATGTGTGCAGTGGAAGGTCACGAGGCCAGGGGCCTTGGCAGGCAAGCCACCAGTTGTGGACATTCTCCCAGGACAGCCTGTTCCCCCCATGGCTGCTGAGCCAGCAAAACCAAACTCCCCGCCCCGTTTACAGTAAACCCCTCCAGATCGCAGAAACAGGACCTGAAACTGCCTGGACGGGGCAAGAGTGGGATTCCGGGAGGGGGGCCAGCCTGCCGGACCCACCAGAGGGGCCCATCAGGGGAAAGCCCTTCCTGTCTCAGGGGAATGGAACTTCCGCTCTGGACGGAGAGCAGCAGGCTCCTGGCTCCCGGTCCCACTGCTGCCCGGCCCAGCGGCACCACAGCACGGTGAGGCCCCAGGTGAGGATGGCGCTTGGCACCTGGGGGGCTGGCTGGCAGGACCCATACGGCAGAGCGTGGTGGTTCCCAAAGAGTAGGCCTTGCATCCCACACCTCAGAGCCACCTGGGCTGTTAAACTTGGGGTGTTCCTGGACCCAGCCCCAGGAATCAAACCTCCTGGGGTGAGCTTGGGAGTCTGTTGCTACCCGGGGCCCCAGGTGATGGGAGTCAGCCTGAAACAGGAGCCACCAACATAAGGGTTTGGGGTCCCTGAGACTCTAGCTGAGTCCTGCTTCTGCCTCTAGGTGCTGGTGATCCGGGGCAAGTCACGTAACCTCTTTGCCTGGACCCACTCTGGGGACAACAGACCCTTCAGGGGCGCTGGGGGCCCTAAAGGAGATGTGGCTCACCCAGTGTTTGGCGCCCTGCCTGGTTCAAGATATGTCAGAGGCAGAGGTGAAACGTGAGCCCAGGTGCCCCTCTGCCCAGCCCAGCATTCCTCCAACGCCTGCCTTCTCTCACTTCCTCGCAGTTGCTGAGAAAGCTCAGCCTGACTCTTTCAAGGAAGTGATTTGACTTTGCAGGTGGAGTTGTGATTCGTTGTTAGTTGGTGCTGAGTGGACTCAGTAATGTCTGTGAAGGACAGGGTGGGATCGGGCACCACTTTACAGACCTTATTCCTTCTGGGTTCCACCGCATTTAATCCTCTGGCAGCCCTGTCCGGCAGAAGTTACCTTTGCCAAAGAGGCTCAGAGAGGTTAAGGCACTTGCCCGAGGTCATGCAGCAAGGTAGCAGCAGAGACAGAGTTGAAAGTCCAGGTGGCCTGACTCTAACCCGGGGGAAGGGCCTGCTGGGGCTGGTGGTTGACGCAAGGGTCGGTGATGTGGAGAAAGACAGCAGACCAAGGCGGCCAGTGATGACAGACGGTGGCAGGAGGAGGAGGTCAGACCAGATGAGTTTTAAGTCCTTGTCCAAGTCTGAAACTCAGGGGCCCCTGAAATGGGCCAGAACCCAGATCTTCCCACTCCCCCCACCCCCTTTCTGCTTCCCCCAGAAGCCTGCGTCTCATCTCAGAAGCGGGTCTGGACCTGCTGTCCCCAATCCTACCCCTGACCCCCCAATTGGAGCTTTCCACCCCTGGGCTGCCTCCAGCTGAGACCCACCCCAATCTCCCAAAGGGACTGGATCTTTTTTACTTTTCCAACCATCTTTCATCTTGTTCTAAAGCTTGAGGATTCTCGAATGATGGTGAAAATAGAAAAAGAGCTAGATTCATTTAGCATTCCCAACCTGCCGGGGTCTGTTGTAAGCCCTATTTCCTCAGTCCTCCCACCAGCCCTATGAGGTAGAGGTTAGTATTACCCCATTTCACAGAAGGGGAAACTGTGGCTGGAGAGGAGAAGCTCCTTGCCTAAGGCCCGCAGCTAAGAAGTGGCAGAGGCCTGACCCTGTGGCCCTGGCAGTATTCTCTTCTCATGACACCACCAGTGAACGTTCGCCGCCTAACAACAGTGGCAATAATAGTAATGGTAAAAGCCTCCTTCACCCCGTACTGGCCCCATCCCCAGAACTGCTCTACACCTATTAGCTCCTTCTGTCAGGCTGTCTGGTTCCAAAGCCCATATTTTAACCACCAGATACAGTTGCCTCTTAACGGAACACCCTGGAAGTTTTAAGATCCGGTGGACCTGGGTTTGAGTCCCAGCAGTATGGGGGCTGTGTGACTTTGATACAGGTTCCCACCCTCTCTAATGCCCAGTTTCCTTGTCTGTAAAGTGAGAAAGCAGGGGTGCTTTCTGAGGGGACTGTTGTTAGGACCAAATTAAATGAGAAAATGGCATGTAAAGCCTTTGGCACAGGGCCTGGTACCTGCTAAGTGCCCAATGGCTGGACTATTAAAGTTGTCAAACTGCTGTTTTCTAAAACCTGCACAAGAGTGGGAACTGATGCTAACTTGAAGATAAGCAGGATCCTTCCCCAGAGCCTCCCTCTTTGAAGGACGGAGCCTAAGCTGGTTACTTGCAGCCTGGTCACACCCACCCTTCAAGCTTCCCTTTCCTTAGTGTCCAGCAGAGGACCTGGCCTAACTCAGGGCTTTGAGCAACAAATTGGTTAGGAGTAAACTGAGAGGCCGAGACTGATGTTCTGAGCACAGGGGCCAAAAATCAGCAGGTTTTTCTGGTCCCGGGAAGGCCTCCACGTGCCAGATTCTGAGAGTGGCAGAACCAGCACGAGGCAGAGAAGACAGGGGCTTGACCACAGCTCTGCCATCAGCCAGCTCACTGGTGACTTTGGGCAGGTTGCTTTCTAATGGTGAAGGTTCTGTTCCCTCATCTGCAAGGTGGGAAAATAATCACAACCCACTTCTGGGCTTGGAACTCTGTGACTTCTTCCCAGCCGCGGCCTCGCCTGCATCCCCAGTGCTATCCTGGGAGGTGGGAGGGCCACTCTGCTTTTCCGTATTAATTGCAGGAAACAGCTCAGCCTCTATGGGCTAGCGGTAATGATGGAAGGCTTCCTGGAGGAGAAAGACTTTGACCCAAGCCTTGAAGCATGGGAAGCATTTGGATCTGGGAAAAAGTAGAATGGGCTGCCTTGGTAGGTAATAGGTGGTGCAACTATGGATGGAAGAACCCTGGCTGAGATATTATTAAGGAGGCTTTACAGTAGGCTGAAAGTCTCTCAAAAAGTTAAACAGATTTACTGTAAGACCCAGTAATTCCACACCTAGGTAGGTACCCCAAAGAATTAAAAATGCATTCAAACAAATCCTTGTGCATGAATGCTCATGGCAGAACTGGCCACCATAGCCAAAAGGTGGAAACTCCCCAAATGCCCATCAGTGCTGAATGGATAAACAGATAAAATTCTATACAATGGAATATTTTTCGGCCATAAAAAGGAGTGAAGGACTGATACATACTACAGTGTAAAGGAACCTCGGAAACATTATGCTAAATGAAATAAGCCAGACACAAAGGTCACCTATTATATGATACCTTTATATGAAATATCCAGAATAGGTAAATTCACAAGGGAAGGCAGGTTAATGGCTGCCAGGGGCTCAGGGGACAGGGAGTAACTGCTTAATGAGTGCAGTTTTCTTGGAGGGGATGAACATGTTCTGGAATGAGACTGAGGTAGTAGTCGTACAATATTGTGAACATACTAAATGCCACTGAAATGTTCACCTGAAAATGGTCAAATTTATGTCAAGTGAATGTCCCCTCAATTTTTTAAAAAGGGTTGGACTAGATGTAATGTTAGTTCCCTTCTGTCTTAAGAATAAATGTTACAGGCCCCCGTGATGACCAGCTCACAACAGCCCAGGGCTTCTTCCCAGTTCCCGGAGATTAAGAAAGGGCCAGCACTTCCCTCTCTCCAGGGCCTTTGGAGACCTGAGAGTATTCCACCAGCAGAGATGGCCTGGTATGTTGTTGGCAGGGACCCTGGCTTCAGTGCCCCACAGGCCTGGGTGTGAGTCCTGGCTGCAGCCCTTCCTGCGTGACCCTGAGCACGTGTTTGAGCCTCTCTCGAGTTTCAGGGTCCTCTTTAGCGGAAGGAGAAATACTAGCTCCTTCCATGCAGGGCTGCTCTGGGGATGTAAAGAGGCCTGCTGTGATGACAGCACAGGTACCCTGAATTCAGAAGGTCTAATGAATGAGAACACTTGGAATAAAATCCAAACCCCGCGTATAACAGCCAACAAGACTCTCACCTCTGCCACTCACCCCTCACTCCCCTCTGGCCATGCTGGCCTCCCTGCTGGGCCTCAGCACCCCAGACTCTGTCCTTCTTTGCCCCCACTGTCCCTTCCTCCTTGTTCCAGCCCTTTCTGAACCCTCAGGTCTCAGATCTAAGCATCACTTCTCAGAGATGCCTCCCCTCCGAGGACTTCCCTCACAAACTGGCCACCAGCCCCCCAGCCCAGTTATTCTCCCTCCAAGCACCATTTCCTCTCTTTTGGGGCACTGGGCACAGGCTCTCGCTGTTTCTGCTTACCTGCATGTTGACCTACTGATGTCTGCCTTCCCCTGGACGGTCAGCTCCATGAAGGCAGGGGCCATACCCGTCTTGTCCATCACAGTATCCCCAGCCCCCAGAACAGGATCTGGTGGGCAAGACACATTCAGTGGACACATGAATGAGTGGCTGAGTGACTGAGAGAATGAATGCTAGGAGGCGCCACGGAAGTAACCTGCCGCGTCTTGTGCCCCGCAGGAAGCTGCTGAGACGGTGCAGTCATGAAGGCCCGAAGGGCCAGTGCCCCGGTGCTCCTACCTTTGTTGCTCCTGACTCTGATTTCTGTCTCCTGCGCCCAGAGCAGCTGCACTGGGTACCCAGCCATCCCAGGCATCCCGGGCATCCCCGGGGTACCAGGCTCCGATGGCAAACCTGGGGCTCCAGGGATAAAGGGAGAGAAAGGTACTGTGTGCTTTGGGGATACATGACTGTCACTGAACAAGGCCCCATCTCCTGCCTCCCCACCCCTTGCCCACCTTAGAGATTGCAAGAGCACTTGGAAATCCTTCAGCTTGCTGAGCAGTAATTTCTTAAGGGGAGTTCTGATATCTGGGAAAACTGATGGCCAGAAAGGCTACTGCCTTGCTCAAGAGAGCCCAGGAAGTGTTGAGGCTGAGACCAGAGCATGGCTGTCCTGTCACTACCTCCAGGTAGAGAGAGAGCCCCGCCCAGGCACACAGTCCTGGCTTCCTCCAGGCTAAGTGGCTTCAGCTCTCTGAATTGCTGCTTCCTCGCCTTTAGGATGTGGGCAGGCACTTTTTGGGGGTTATCACAGAGTTTGAGTGAGGCTTCTCCTGCTGTGAAAACCCCTAAAATGTAGTTCATTTGTTCATGTAAACAGCCAACCACTCTCCTTGCATAATCTAATTTAATCCTCGCAATCCCGCAAAATATCACCATCCTGGTTTTATAGATGAGGAAGCTGAGCCTCGGAGATAAGACGCAGTCAAAGCGACACAACTAATAATGTCAAATGTGGCATGAGAAGCACCTCTGTCTGTTTCCTGAGCCCACGTTTTCAGCCACTATATTCTGCCACTCTACTGGAAAAGAGAGTGCTGGGTCAAACCGCTGGGTGGCGCTGCCTAGAGCGGGGAGGGTGAGGAATTCTAAGACCCACTCCAGGTTCAGCAAGAAAGGGGCTGCTTAAGGCTGTCTGCCACGGGGAGGGGACGGACAGGGGTGCAATGTGCCAGGGCTTCATTATCTCTGCTCCAGGCCTCAGCCAGAACAAGGGCGCCTGTATGAGCTGGTGAGGAGGGCCGGCCTGCCACCTTCCTTAGGGAGACCACGACCCACCCTACAGGCATCAGTGACCTATCCAGGGTGACACAGCCAGGCTCCGTGCCTCCCAGCCCGGTATTCATTCTTTGGTTCACAGGGATCTGTGGCCTCCTCATTTCTCTTGTCTCTGCTTTTCCAGGGCGCCCGGGGCTAGCTGGAGACCATGGCGAGTTTGGAGAGAAGGGGGACCCAGGGATTCCTGGGAAACCAGGAAAAGTGGGCCCCAAGGGCCCCGCTGGCCCTAAAGGTTCCCCAGGGCTCCTTGGACCCCGTGGCCCCAAGGGTGAATCAGGAGACTATAAGGCCACACAGAAAATTGCCTTTTCTGCCACAAGGACCATCAACAGTCTCCTGAGAAGAGACCAGGCCATCCGTTTCGACCACGTGATCACCAACGTGAACAACAACTACGAACCTCGAAACGGCAAGTTCACCTGCAGGGTGCCCGGCCTTTACTACTTCACCTACCACGCCAGCTCTCGAGGGAACCTGTGCGTGAACCTCGTCCGGGGCCGGGAGCGTGTGCAGAAGGTGGTCACCTTCTGCGACTACGTTCAGAACACCTTCCAAGTCACCATGGGCAGCGTGGTCCTCAAGCTGGAGCTGGGGGAGATCGTCTTCTTGCAGGCCACCGAAAAGAACTCCCTGCTGGGCATCGAAGGTGCCAACAGCATCTTCTCTGGGTTCCTGCTCTTCCCGGATGTAGAGGTGTGACCTGTGGGCCTGATTTGCTCCCCTGCCTACTCCCTCCCCTGCCTACAGTGCTCACTTTATCCCCAACTCTACCCCCACCCCAGCCAAAGCACAGAGTAGGGCCCCATGGATATTGCTGAGTGAACAAGTAAATAAACTCTTCCAGTCCAAGGGACAGTGGTTTGATTCTACTTTGTGTCCCAGCACCTGGCACACAGTAGGTGCTCAGAATGTTGCTTGAATTCTGGAGGAATGACTGAACAATGAATGAATGAATGAATGATCTCTGAAAACAGAAACTCTATCTAACTGAAGGTGACTGGAGGGCCAGATTCTGTCCAGCTCTGTGACAATCACATGGGGGAGATGGAGAGGGAACACCATTTATTGAGCAGCTACTAGGCTCCAGGCCCTGAGCTAGACCTTTTCCTTATTCTCTCATTAATCCTCACACTCAGTTGGAAATAGGTTGCATCATGCCCAGTTTACAGAGGAGGAAACAGGACTGGAAGGATAAAGGGATTGTCCTTGATTCCACAACAGAGCTGGGATTCGAGGGCAGGTATGGCACTGATGACCTGACACCTCTTTCAAAGCAATAGGTCAAGGCCATCCCCTAAAGTGCTCATAATGCCACATACTCTCACCCAGGGGATCAAAAGGTCTTCCTCCAAAGTCTTAACTGACCTTAGAACTAAGATCCTTCCCTTCTTGATTCTCCCCACATGCTCCTCCTCCCAGTATCTTCCCAGCCTGGCACAATCTCAGCCATCCAGTTAAAACAAATGTCACTTCCCTGATCAATAACCTTCAGTGGCTCCCCACTGCCACCTGGATGTAGTCCTAGACCATGAGCCTGGCCTTCAAGGCTCTCTGTGGATTGGCCTTCTCGTCCCACTCCCTCCTCTCCTGGACAAAGAATATCCCCACTCCAGACCAACTAGGCCCTTTCTGTCTTTTAGGCAAACCCCATGCTTTCCTGCCTCAGCACCCTTACTCCCACTGTCCCCGCACCCCCAAGCCAGACCATTCCAGCTGTCACAGCTCCCATCTTCTGGCCTCCTCTGACCCCGCTGCTGCCTGGTTCAGCCCTGAGCACACACAGCCTGCATCTGGCTCTTCACTCATGTCCACCCCATCTCCCCAGCTAGGCTGTGAGCTCCTTACCCTGCCCATCTCTGAACCCCACAAAGGCCATGATGCACAGTAGCCACTTAACAAAGTCTCGCTGCCTGATTGGCCAAGGTCCCAGGCACCAGCCATCCAGTAGCCCTGCACCTACCCTCTGCAGCCCCTCCTACAAGGCAGACTCCACAAGACCATTGGCCAATCCTGTCCTGACGTAGGAAGGATTTAAGGCACTCTGGCCTATCATAGGGTCATGGTACCAGTCAGCCTCCTGTTTGGCTGGCCTGTTTCTCAGGCCTCCATTGCTGGGGTGCAACTTCCACCCTATCTTCTGGAAGACAGGCCAAGCTTTGATGACTTGCCCCAACCTCAGGCCCTCCAACAGGAACCTGGAACCTTTTCTCCAGGGGCTGGGACTTCTTTTTGCTGCTCAGCCCTTTCAGTACAAGCTGTCTGCCTGAACTTTGAGTCTAGTAATAATAGTTAACAGTTATAATAACCAGATCTCAATTGAGTTACGGTGCAACTAGTGCTGTATGTACATTAGCTCATTCAATGTCTGCCACAAATCCTAGGAGGTACATAATATTATCCCCATTTTACAGATAAGAATCTGAGGCTCAGAAAGGGCAAACAATTGGCCCAGGGTCGCACAGCATACAGATGCACAGCCAGGATTGGAACCTGCTTCTGTTTGCCCCTGAGCTCTTGCTAAATCTGTAGAGATATCACTGCCTTGCCCCCCACACCTGTTGAAATCTCCTTCTGAAACCTTCTGCACAGTACCCTGCATCTCACCTGAGCTCACTGGACCTTAGGAGTCCATATTCTCAAGCTTCTATAGTTGGATCTATCTATGCAGGGCTACACTCCACCCCAAGGGCAGATCATGAACCCCCAGGGCTCCCCACTTTGCTGCAGGGACCTTGGCCAAGCCAGCTTTGACCAAGCAGACAGAGCTCATCCCAGTGCTGCCTCGGGCTGGCCGGCTCTCTCTGACTCCTGAGCCATAAACCGTAGCCTTGCCACCTTCCCTCCACCAGACTGCCCCAGGCACGACCTCTTAACAGTGCCCCTTTTGTGCCCTGCCTCCCCACCCAACTTCCGGATCTTCCAGAAACCCGGGAATTTCACTACATGTTCAGCCATGGCCACTGCAGTCAAACACACCTTGCTTTATACACTAATATTGCTAAACCCTCCACCTTTACTATTGCTCTTTCCCAGCCAGTGGAGATAGTTCAGCTCTACAGATCTCCAGGGAGAAGGTGAGGTTTCATCACAGGAACCAGGACCCAGGATCCCAGGAGAGCCTGGAGGTGACTTCAGATGGGTCCTAGGACCTCATCTATCCCATCTTTGCCCTGATACCGCCTTTCCCCCATAACCCCTTCTCACAGGGAATGGGGTTGGGCTTGAACCTTGGACATCCTGGCTGGGCCTGCAGTTTGACAGAAAGAGGGGAAGACATTCCCCTCAGACCTGTGACTCTTGACCTTGTTCACCCACCTTGACACTGACTCCCAGGCCTTACCATGCCAGAGCCCTTTTAGTAGCAAGTGACAGAACCTCCTTGAACCAACTTAGGAGAAAAGGAGGAACTTATCGGGGGAGCCCAGAGGTGTCCTACAGAACCCAGGAACAGCCTGGCCCAATCAGTGGAAGCCAAGAAGTAGTGGACATATAACCATAACAGTAGCTCACAATTACTGAGCTAGACTCCTGGCAAGTAGTCTCTCCTTAACAGTCTCAACAAGGCTAAGGAGCAGATATTCTCATCCAGTGGTTCTCAAACTTAGCGAGCATCACAATCGCCAGGAGGGCTTGTTAGAATTTGCTAAGAGCTTCCATGTGATGGTGCTGCTCGGGACCCCACTTTAAGAACCACTGCTATAATCTTATTGTGTCCCTTCTATAGATAAGAATACTGAGGTGCCGGAAGGGGGTCTTACTTGCTCATGTCACACACAATATCTAGGATTTAGATCCAGGCCTCCTTAAGCCAAGAATCAATGTGTTAGCTCTGTGCCCCATTGCCCAGACTACAGGGGCCCAGCCCTGCGGATGGGGGCAGCTCTCCGAGCAGCAACGGCAGGCCCTCCTCCTGGCTACAGTGCCGCATCCAAGCTTCCCCACCTCTGCCCCAGTCAGTCCTGACCAGCCTGCCCCTCCCAGGGACCCACGCAGCTTCGAGCCATTACGAAGAAGAAAGGAGGGTAAAGGGCCACGAAGAAGGAAGGTGAGGCTTACTAAGTAATCATACCAGCTCACACAGGGCATGGTTCTAAGCACTCATGTTAACTCATGTAACATTTACAGTTTTGCTCCCCCTTGACAGAGGGGAACAGTGAGACCCAGAGCAGTTAAGTGACTTGGGTTACCAACGTTGCACAAGTAGTGAGTAGTACAGCCAGGATTCAATACAAGGCAATTCAGCAGCTCTGGAGTCAATGCTCTCATCACTGTCCTGTTACAGCAGGACACCCTGAGGGGCTGTGTGGGGTGGCAGCTGAGTCAGACAGACCCATGTTTAAACCCTGCCTAGCCTTCCTACCAGGTGTATGACCATATCAAGTGGCTGCCCCCATCTCCGGTTCTGCCATCTGAGAAAAAGGCAATGTAGCAATGAGCATCCTGGCACGCACCCTTGGTTCTTTTCTGCTAGAAGTGGACTCCCTAGGGAAAGGGTGTGCAAACTTTGGAGGCTGTGAAATATGTTTCCAAGTGGAGGGCCAGGCCGTCAAGGCTGAATATGCCAGACCAGCTCCAGGGGGAGCTGCCACCAGGGGGAGCAGACACCAGGAGAAGGAGAGCCAGGAAGAGGGGCCAGTGGACCTGTGGGTGAGATGGACCTGGGTGGTGGGGGCCCCTCCTTCCCTCTCTTCTCCCTCTGGGTGGACTGTGAGCTTCCAGGGTAGGGCTGGGGGTCAGCTTTGAAGATACACTTACTCTAAACCAGTATCTTCAAAGTGTGATCCCAGCAACAGCATTACCAGGGAACTTGTTAGAAATGCAGATTTTCAGGCCCCCAGACTGGCTGAATCAGAAATCTGGGAATAAGGCCCTGTGATCTGTGTTTTCACAAGCCCTCTAGGTGATTTTTATACAGCTGAAGTTTGAGAACTACTGTTGTAGACCAGGGGTTGCCAAACTTTCTATGTAAAGAGCCACATAGGAACTATGTTTAGGTCACACAGGAACTATTATACAGTCTCTGCTGCAAGTACTCAGCCCTGCTTCTGTGGCATGGAAACAGCCATAGATAATACATAAATAAATGAGTGTAGCTATGCTCCCATAAGTCTTTAGGGACACTGGAATTTGAATTTTACATAATTTCGCATGTCACAAAATACATTTCTTCTGATTTTTTTTCCCAACCATTTAGAAAAGTAAAAACCATTCTCAGCTAGCAAGCTGCCCATTTTGTGGCCTGGATCTGTCAGCCTGCTCTAGACCCAGGGATGGCTCCAGGCTTGGAAGGAGAGGAGCAGGAACGTGAACCCAGGACTGCCTGGTTCCCACACCATGAGGCTGGTCTGCCAGGTTCCCGCTTTGGGGCAGGGACAGAAAAACCCTCTGGGCCTTGTTGTCCTTGACTGTTAAATGGGCATTGCAATCTCTGCCCTGAGGGATCTGAGGCGCTAGGTCTCCAATTTCCGTGGGCCATGGAATTCCCTGGAAACTTGCTGGTGTCCAGGTTCTGATTCCATAGGATCTGGAGGGTCCTATGTTTCTATGGTTCTCAAACACCCAGGGGAATCCCAGGACAGGTGGTCCTCAGCCTCGGTGAGGAGGCTGAGCTGATAAGCATGAAAGCTGTGGCCAGTAGCAGCCCAGCCTCTGCCCACAGGTGTCCATTGGCCATAGGGATTAAGGGAAGAAGCAGAAACAGACTTCTTGTCTGTTGGAACCCATGCAAGCTGAGAAATGCAGGAGAGAGGAAAGCCTGGGGGCGCAGAAATTGAAAGGACAGAGGGGCTGTATTCAAATCCCATCTCTGCCACTTACAGGCTGTGTTCTTGGACTAATTATTTAACTTCTTTG